TCCGCATTAAAAAATGACAAAATCATAGAATTTACAGGGAAATGGATGGCATTAGAGCAGATTATGCTAAGTGAAGCTAGCCAATCCCTAAAAAACAAATGCCAAATGTCTTCTTTGATATAAGGAAAGTAACTAAGAACAGAGTAGGGACGAAGAACAGGAGAAGAAGATTAACATTTAACAGGGATGAGAGGTGGGAGGGAAAGGGAGAGAGAAGGTAAATTGCACAGTAATGGAAGGAGACACTCAGGGTTATACAGTGGAGGGGGTAGAGAGAGAGGAGGGGAGGGGAGGGGAGAGGTGGGGACGGGGGAGGGTGGATGATGGGAAAGGCAGCGGAGTACAACAGACACTAGTATGGCAATTTGTAAATCAATGGATGTGTAACTGATGTGAATCTGCAATCTGTGTATGGGGTGAAGGTGGGAGTTCATAACCCACTAGAATCAAAGTGTGGAATATGATATGTCAAGAAATTTGTAATGTTTTGAACAACCCACAATAAAAAATTAAAAAAAAAAAAAAAGAAGAACTATGAAAGGTCAACAAATATATGAAAAAATGTTCAATATCTTTTATCAATTAGAGAAATGCAAATTAAAACTACACTGAGATTTCATCTCACTCCAGTCAGAATGGCAATTATCAGGAATACAAGCAATGAAATGTTGGTGAGGAGGTGGGGAAAAGGGTGCACTCATACACTGTTCGTGGGACTGCAAATTAGGGCAGTCTGGAAAGCAGTAAGGAGATTCCTCAAAACATGAGAAATGGAACCACCAGTTGACCCAGTTATCCTACTCTGCAATATACATCCAAAGGAGTTAAAATCAGAAAACTGCAGTGATGCAACTATATCAATCTTTGTAGCAGCACAATCCATAATAGCTAAGCTATGAAACTAACCTAGATGTGCATCAACAGATGAATGGACAAAGAAATTGTGGTATATATACACAATGGAATATTACTCAGCCATAAAATATGACTTTATGACATTCACCAATAACTGAATGGATCCGGAGACTCTCATGCTAAGTGAAATAAGCCAGTTCCAAACACCAAAGATCAAAAGTTCTCTCCGATATGTGGATAGTAGCCCACAACAAGGGATGAAAGGAAGAATGGAAATTCAATGGATTGGACAAAGGGGAGTAGAGGGAAGGAAGGGGAGGATAGGAATAGGAAAGAGAGTGGAATGAATGTGACATAACTTTCCTATTGAGGTGTTATCTGTAATATATAAGGTCCTTCCTTACACATATGAATACACCACAGTGTATCTCAACATCCTGTAAATCCAAAGACTGGTATCTTAATTAGAATAAGATACATTCCATGCTTATATAAATATATCAAAATAGGGGCTGTGGTTGTGGCTCAGTTGGTGGAATATTTGCCTTGCAGTGTGAGGCACTGGATTCGATCCTTGGCACCAAATAAAAACAAACAAATAAAATAAGGCATTGTGTCTGTCTATAACTGAAAAAAAAAAAGAAAAAGAATATATCAAAATAGATTCTACTGTCATGTATAGCTAAAAAGAACAAATAAAAATAAATATCAAAACCTCAATTATTTCTAGTAAATCATGGCTTTCAAATATTTTCATTATGACCTATAATAAGAAGTGAAGTTTATTTCACAATCCAGTATACAGATATAAAAATTGCACAAAAATTTCATGAACAATTACCCTTGATGTGCAGTAAACTGTTACTTCTTATTTTACTGTCTCAATTAAAAACTCATGGTCATAACCAATGAAATTATTCTCACAACACACTAATGGATCACCATTATCTGATGTCTGTTTTTTTTTGTTTTTTGTTTTTTGTTTTGGTAAATCACTGCAGTAAATCAGTGTTTCTCAGTTAAGATGGTTCTCAATCTAGGGAATAATATATTTCTGTAGTTATTATGAAGTCTAGTCAACCTTGGCACTTGTACCTCTGTTTTTGTCAGCAAAATAAAAGAATAACTGCATTTCAGATGTTTGTCAGAGGTAATCAAACGCTGTTTTGAAACATCTGATACATGAGACAACTAATGTGTAAAGAGCATGTTATGACGGTTTTATACCTTTATCTAAACTTCATGACAATTCTAGGAGTTGGTTAGTATTATTATTACCACTTTCCAGAAACAGCCACAGAAAGCTTAAGTTGGTTTGTACCATATTGCACACTATGTGAACAGTGAGGCAGTACTCAGACTCAGGTGATCTGGCTTCAGAAAGCATACTTTCCATAGCTCTGCTGATGGATGGTTATTCACCAAGGCATTCTACACTTAGGCCACATTGCTTTCTCAAAGAAATGACTTCAACAGAATTGACTTAACATTTGATTTTTTGTTAAGACCTGGCCACATAAAGAATTAGTTCCATATCATAAATAAAACTTCTTTTAAACTCATTGTTAATTATATTGTCACTATTCCCTATGTAAGGGAAAATCTAGTCTCTCTAGATCTAATGCATATTTTATTGAATGACTTCATTAGAAAATAAAAGCTATATAACATCTTGATTCTATTTCTGTCACAGTTCACCACTGTCAATGCATTTATCATTTACAGCTAACGCATCACCACTATACTTTATATAAACCTACCTAAATTAACATTCTAATTCTTCCAATTTGGCAATGTTATGTTAGAACCTAGACAACTAGAGGTGAGATGATGGGTAAGTCTTATAGTTTTATCAAACTCAATTTATAATGAGGCAGACATATACTCAAAAAATAACTTCATTATTAATGATATGTATAAGCTCTAGAAAAGAAAATATTGCATGCTTTGATAGGCATGCAATACTAAAGGACCTAGTCTAGCAGTGAGGTCAAAATATCCTTAAGGTAATAACATTTATGCTGAGCTATAAAGGAGGAGACAGAACCCGTCCTGCTAGAATGATTTCTAGGCAAACAGAAGAAAATGTGGAAGTGAGGTGTTAAGGATGGCTAGTTTATAAAATTTGGTAACTTGCCAACAGAAACTGATAGAACACATTTTGTTAGCATTTGCCTAAGACACTTGCTAGGAATAGGAGAAAAAGGTGAGAGTGATGCCTAGCTGGCTTAATGAAGGGTAATCCTGCTTTAGCTGAGAAAGAGTAGTTGCAATTTCAACATTAGAATCTGGAAAACTATTTCAAGGAAAAAGGTGATGTAGTAAAAGAAAAGAAGAAACAATTTAATTTACTGTATTTCTTATCCCAGGTGAAAAAAAGAACTTGAGAAAGTGGAGAAGATATTACAAGAGGGTGAACCCATTAATCTAATATGTACAAATGCCTACAAAACATTTTCAAAAAATTTCACTTCTAATCCCATAAAAGGAAAAGGATTGCTGCCATCTGAAGAAACCTAGAATTTGTAAATATACAGAAATGAGATTGGAACAGGTAGAGCAGAGAGGGAAAAATCTTTGCTGTCAATCAATATTTGTTAAAATGAATGAATAAGAATTCAGAAGACAATAAACACTGTTAGTTTTTCTGATGCATCACAAATATAGATTTTTTTTGGTTTGCCTCCTCCTTCCTCTTCTTTTTATTTATTTTTTATTACCATGCTTTTCATATTTTGTTTGTCGTAAGATACACGTGACAAATAAAAATAAACTGGTGGCAGAAAGTATCCTAATAAAAAGTGGTTTCTCAACTATTTAAAGAATTTATTGTATATCAGGCAATATATGAAATGTTTTACATACATAGGTATCTCATTTAATTCATCACAACCATCTTTTGACCAACAAACCTATTATACATGTATGATATAAATGAGGAAACTGAAGCCGAAGAAGACAAATAATTCTATACCAAATGTCACATAATAGAGATGCCAAAGGCAATTAAATAGGTGCTAAGTCTCTTAGAGTTCATTCAATCTATTGTCTGAACATAGAATATATGTTGGATCTCAGGGGATAGCCAGAGAGGATGAACGAAAACATAATCCCAATCTTCCCTGTGTATGTGTGTGTGTGTTTAGCCTAGGTCCTTTTCTCAAAAGAGAAGAGAACAAAGTTGAATTAGAGTAAGGGGAAAGATTAAAAAAAGGAATGTGACAATTCTAATACCAGTTTTTATAAACGGATAAACCAAAAATACACCAGATACACCAGCAGTTCTAAACGTTAATGGCACTAGGTTGTCCTGCAGTAGAACTCTAGTTAAAAGGGATTGCTGCCCCTGCCTCCATGCTCCAGTTTCTGTTCAGTAGGTTGGGGAGAGGTGTGAAATCTGAAAATATGCATTTCTAACAATTTCTCAGCTAATGCTCTTGGTCCAGGGACCATAATTTGAGAACCCCTATAGTATAATAAATAAATTTACTCTCTTATACAGATATAGTAAATAAAACCACACTAGAACATAAATGAAAGTATTCCTCTGGGAGTTAAAGATATAGAATTCTATAGATTTTAGAAGATTTTTTTTCCTTTATATTTTTAAATATAATATTTGATACAGATTTCTGTGTATTTAAATTATAAAAATCACCTACTTCTCATATCAAACTCATATAGTGTCAACAAATATAACTGATAAACTTCCTTTAATATTAAACTCTTTATTTTCATAATTGTCAAATATTCTTATTAGATTTAATTTCTGAAGACTACATAACTTTCATAATTAACACAATACAGACAGGTTAAATTTTGAGTATTTTTTACACATTGCTTATTTCACAATTTTTACTGGCAAATAAACAATACTATTCCAAAGAATAATGTAAGAGAATATATGACATTGGACAAGAAAAGTAATTCAAATTTTCTAAGATACATGGTAAGACTACTAAATATAGAACACAAAGAATATTATCCTACAGTCATTAATTTTAATTCTTTTATTAAATAAAGAAGGTATAAAAATCTAAGACTGGGCTAGACCCTTCCAAAAAAGCTTTTGAAAATAATGACAAAATAGACTTTTATGGTATTTAAGTGATACAATGAATATTAGTAATGAAGTAAAATCTTACCCAGATCTCGTCGTTTTGAACTCCACCTTGAGGATAGGTTTGCATGGTTCTGGTTTCTTCCCATCCTTTAACTGTTTTCCTAAAATATATTTTCCTACATTTAATTCTAAAATTCTACATTACTCTAAATTCTTGCATTGACAATTTATGAAATGAAAGTGAAATGTAATGAAATTCACCATGAAACATTTCAAAATTATTTTGAAAGATATATTTAATATAAAATACGATACTTTTAAATGATCAGGCAAAATTCAGTTTGAAATTCACTGCTGAAAATAAGTAAAATAACATTTATGTAATAAAATTCTACTATGAAAAAATGATAGTCTTCTCAATGTTCTTCATTATAGATAAGCAAAAGAGAACTTCAGTTTGCTAAATGAATACAAAATTTTTAAAAAATGAATCTATATCACATTTTTATCCAGGTGTAACAGGCTATAAAATTAAATCCTATTTTAACAAATTCATTTATATTCATCCTCCTAAGTAAAATCCATTCATTATAATGTATAAAAGCTACTAAAACACACAAAGCTCTATAAAATGTCAATAACTAATTTTGTAAAATAATTTTGATTTTGATTTTTGATATTTGCAAAATGTTTGAGATTTTAGTTATCTATTTCTAGATATTCATTGTAGAAACCACAGAAAACTCAAAAAAATAAAGAAATAAAACAAAAATCTATTTTATCCCTTTTTTTAGTAATAATTACTCTCAACACTATTATACTTTTGGCAAATCACCAAACATGGGAATTGCCTTGGGAATCTCTGACACATACTCCTACCCAAACACTTCTTATTTGCTTTCATACTTTTATTTTTTCCTCTATAACACTTATTCTAAAATACCTTATATTTCACTCCTTTATTTTTATTTATTTTTGTTGTTGTAGTTTGTCTAACAAACCAGAATGTAAATTCTGGGTAAGCAAAAATTTTTAGTGTATATTTTCCCTGTTGTGTCTCTAGTGGCACAAACCCTTTGACATATAGTGGGTACTCAATAAACATTCAATGAGCAAATAAATTAATGATTATTTCCTTGGGATAAATTCCTAGAAAAAGGATATCTGGGTAAAACTGTATTCCAGAAATGTGCCTGTTTATACTTCCATCAACAATCTAAGAGAATATTTTGCCAAGGGCCAAGATACCAGAAAGATATAACAATTATGAACAAATATGCACCAAAAATAATGGCATCAAAATATATGAAAATTAAATGCCTAAAAAATAAGAGGGAAAATAGACATAATAATAATAGTTGGAAACCTCAACCATCTTACTTACAATAGTGTATAGACAACCAAACAGGAGATGAACAAAGAAACAAAATCTGAACAACTTAAAACAACTTAGAGCCAACAAACATTTAGAGAACATTTCACCTAACAGAAACAGAATATAATTTTCCCAAGTACATGCAAAACATTTTCAGGACGAACTGTATATTAGGCCATAAAATAAATCTCAATCAAATTTAAAAGATAAACATACACAAAATAAGTTCTTCAACAAAAACAGAATGAAATTAGAAATCATTAGCAGGAAAAATAATAGAGATTCTAAAAAATATGTGAAAAGTAAACAACATATTGCTAAATAAACAATGGGCTAAAGACAAACATCAAAAGAAAAAATCATACTAGGTGCTATAACATATGTTAGTAATCCTGGAAACTTGAGAGGCTGAGTCAGAAGGACTCTAAATTTAAGGACAGCCTCTGCAAGTTAGGGCCTGTCTCAAAATAAAAAGGGTTGGGAAGGGGCTAGGGTTGTGGCTCAGCAGTAGAGCACTCACCTAGCATGTGCAAGGCACTGGGTTCGATTCTCAGCACCACATAAAAATAAATACAATAAAAGTACTACAACTAAAAAAAAAAAAAAAAAAAGATCTGGAAAATAGTTCAGTGGTAAAGTACCCTGGGCCAATACAATACCACAAAAAGAAAAACAAACAAACAAACAAACAAAAAAAAAAAACAGGAAGAAGAAAAAGATAAATCAGGAACTACTTTGAAATAAAATAAAAGAAATAAAAAACCTTTAGCTACACTGACCAAAAAAAGAGGCAGAAAACTCAAATCATAGGATCAGATAAAGAACTGTAAAGAAATCTATGAACAACTGCATGTCAACAAATGAGATGCCTTAGAGGAGATGAATAAATGTGTAGAAAGACAAAATTATTAAAATTGACTCAAAAAGAAATAGACAATATGAATAAACCTACAACAAGTGAAGAGACTGAAAAACTAAAATAGTTTTGAGTTTTAATACATCTACAAGGAAATGCATAAATTTAAGTACATAATGAGTTTTGACATAACTATGTACCTGCAAGCACTACTTATTGAGACTTCATTGTTTTCCCATTGTTAGGAAATGTTAGCTGTACTATATGGCTTTTATAAATATGTCTATAATCTGTTGGTAAAACATATAATCTTGTCTTAATTTAAGATCCTAGGATCATCACTTTCCTTCCTTCTGAAGAAATGATGGTTCAGTGGACCCTGAATGTCCAAGAGGAAGCTCAATTTTCAGAACCAAGAAGTGATTAGTGGTAGATAAGATGTAAGGACTGGAAAGGAATGTAGAAGGAAAACTTGACTATTGAGGTAGGAGAAAAAAATAAGAAAAAATAAAGGTATAAATAAAAGTCTAAAAAAAATTACAAAGCTCTAATAGAAGTGTCAGACTGGTATAATTTGGACTCATAAGCCCAGGCACTGTGAGTGGCACATGTCTATAATTCCAAAGACTCAGGAAGTGGAGACAGAAGGATCAAAAGTTCAAGGTCACCCCAGCAACTTATAGTAAGACCCTAAGCAAAGATGATATCTCTAAATAAAAATTAAAAAGAGCTAAGGATGTAGCTCAGTGTTAAAGTATCCCTAGGTTAAATTCCTAGTACCTAAATAATAATAATAAATTAATAATAATTGTCATTATTTATTACCACTTATTATTATTTGGTATCACAGACCCAATTTTACATTTGTTTTCAAAATTATTATATTATATAAAATTTTGTTTTTATTCATAAATAAGTCACTAACTTATTTCAATATTCAGTGTTTTAGTAGCTAGAACAATTTTTAAGAAGGTCATTAAAGGGTATATTTATTGAACTCTTGCAAGACGGTATTTGCATACCTTGCATAAAACCTGGCTAGGTATAAAATTATTTTTTCTTGCTCAGTCTTCATGTTGATCCTTTGTGTTCTAGCATTTAGACTTGTAATACATTTGAAAGCTAGTTTTATTGTTGTTCCTTTAAAGTTAACCTTTTTTCCTCCAGTTAAAAATTCTAGTAATTTCATCATCTCCATAAATTTAAAAAACATTTGGCTGTTTTTCTAGTTATCATTCTTTGCTAATATTGCTTGGAAACCAGTGAGTATTTTAGATTGGCATATTCTGATACTTTTCCAACTAAGATGTTTTAAAAAACATGTTACTGATTACTGCTCCTGGTCCAGAAAGATTAAATTATTCATCTGTATTCTCACACTAACTATTTTGTAAACCAAGTAATAAGGCATTAGATATGATTTTATAAGTCATAGATAAATAGAAGAATATTTAGAAAATCACCAGATTTCATTCACCAGGTGTCATTTTACTTAAGTGCTGTACACCAGCGGAGCAATAAGGTGTTTCTTCTACCTGAGAACTGCCTTAACAAGTCCCTGAAAAGATCTGACTAATTATAAAATCTAACTTAATAAATCACATAAACCTTTATGCCATCCACATACAATTTCTTTTCGTTTTATAAATGTCCTTTTCCTATGCCCACTTACCAACCACAATGGATATTCTGCCACATGAACTAGTCTGAGCTCTACTAATTCCAGAATTTCAGTCATGAATTTCCATTTCTTCCCATTTCCTCTGTCACAACTGAAATCTTCAGTATTAACTGTTTATTAATGTAAGCATTTAGTTATTGTGCAACCTCTTCTGCCTTCAGGTCACCTGATGCACTACCATTAAAGTGATATTTTCCAAGATGCTAATTGTGTATTCCTCACTGTAAACTCATTTACTAGGCTTCCATCATGAAGTTCAAACATTTTAGCATACTTCGATGTATAATCTTGCCTCTATACATTTTTTTTCATTTCCTGCTTTTAACTCAAACAAATTTTAAACCCTAACAGTTTTCCAAAAACACTGCTTATGATTACATCTTTGTGACTATGTATTTTTTCACTAAAACAACCTTGTCCTATTGTTTTCTATCGAATAACACCCCAACCCCTTTCCTTAAGACCCCACTCCTATGTCCTGAATTTGTGAACTGTTTCTATACCCTTCACCCAAAACAACACCACTATTTCTTTGTTTTCACATCTTATTGTATACAACCTCATCAGCACTTATCACAATAGTTATAGTTATAAGTTTATAGATCATTTTCATTCACTTGACTATGAACTCTTTAAGGGCAATCTACTCCCAGCATTTAATCTCTAATGCATAGGAGATACTCAATAAAATGTTTCTTAAATGAATAAAGATTGATTTAAAAAAAAGAATGAAGATCAATGACAAAAACAATTACTAAGTTTTTCATATTGCCAATTAGAACACAGGATATTTTCTAACTGACACAGTTGTTATATTGTAGTTTTGCTTTTTCAGTGTAGAGCAGCTGTCCAAAATGGTAGCCAACAGTCACATTCTGTTGTTGGGCACTTGAAATATGGCTAGTCCAAGTCAAAATGTGCTGTGACTGTAGAATGTATTCTATATTTCAAAGGCCTAATACAAAAAAACACTGTGAAATATCTCAATTTTGTATGCTGGATTTCATGACAAAATAATACTTTTGCATACGGGGGTTAAATAAAAGTTAAAATAAATAATATCAATTTTAACTTTCATTTTAGTGTTTTTAATATGATTACTAATAAATTAAAATTAATCTATGTGGTTCACATTACATTTCTATCGAATAATGATTTTCAAAAAAATACAATGACAAACTAGAAAATCACACTGTTGATGTTAATAATATTAGTCTGAGAACAGGGACAGAAGGGTGAACTTCTCTTA